AATAGATGGATGCATGTGTACATGCTTTTGTCATATTAGAAAAATGATTACCGGTAATCTAAACTGATCCGGATGTGTGCTTTTGCCTTGCTTTTTTTGTATTGTCTTGATGGTTTCCATCACTGTGATGTGATCGTGGTGGTGGACGGAGTTGGGAAAGTCACCACTGAAGGCCCATGAACCAAATGTATGGCACGCCTTTGCTTCACATAATAAGAGCTTAGAGCAGTAAGAACACACAAGGGGATTAAATGTCTCAAGTCCGTATGTGTGATGTCGGAGTAGAAAGTACATATGTTCCATTTAGCGTTTGGCTCTGCGCTGTTTCGAAACCTCTCAAGGACCTCAGCAACACCGAATCAGTGGAATAGACCAGCAGCTAATCAGTTGCTCGTACTTCTTTCTGTGACTAAAATAAATGGAATGAGCAGAAGAAAAATCAAGGACAACATGGGGTTATGCTTGCATAACGTTCACATTTATTTGGTTTTTATTTCCTAACACATTCTAAACATGCTTTTAACACATAATGGATCACATTTTTCACAGGTAGTTAAAGTAACAAGAGCAGACAAGATTTCTGAAGAGAAAAACACGAAGCAGTTTCCATTGTCTGTTCACAGTAAACAACAGTGTGTAAATAAATGTATTCCCTGAGATATTTAGGTTCACAATTCTTTTTACTTCAGCCCCAGACTCTCCTCACCTTGTGCTCCTGGAAAACGGGCTTTGAAAACATCGGATCAATGGGGTTGGACACATTCTACATGACTGGCAAAATTAAGCATACAGGAAGATAAAACACGAAACACTTTTTAAATGGTGATAGATTGGTGGCATTAAATACACAGTAAAATGAGCTATGCACTTACATATACAAGAGGTTGGAAAAGCTAATAACCATCCCAGTAGGTCCTTCTCCATTAACCTCTCCTTATTATGACACGTTAATATCATGATCAGCAAGTAAAGCTGCTGCTTCTATTCAGGAGCCCGTGTGAATCGAAACCCAGTGATAAAAACCACAGTCGTCTCGTGCCACAGTGCCAGGGTCACTCGACCGAGGGAGGAAGCACGTAAAGACGAGGAGATGTCAGCGTGACCACAATTACATTGACTGATTGATAATCAATCACAAGCGGCATCAGATATGATAAGCATCCACATTGTGAACACCGCGTTGCCTTGAATGGTGAACAGCAATCACGTAGCTCAATAGCAAAAAAAAAAAAAAAAAAAAAACCTATCATGACGTGTTGAATATCATGTATCCACACACGGCCAACTGCCATTCACAAGATTGGGAGCTCTTTAAAAAAAAAAAGAAAAAAAAAAGCAAGGTAAACACAGGAAAATCAAGCATTGCTTAAGGGCGGCGAGAATGCTTCACGTGAATAACAATCAGTATGTTGACATTGTCATGGACATTCTTTCATCTTTGGTTTTGGATTCATGATAACAGGGCAGAATGGGAAACAATAGATGACGCGAATTAAAAATCAAACAAAGGGGTGAGGTAAACGAGGATCCCTGAAAATAGAGATTAAAAAAAAAAAAAAAGTTGTTGTGTTCCAACCAGAGGTCAGGAAAAATTAGCAGGCTGACAGAGACAAACAGCAGCAAGTGTGAGGTAGAGTGAAGCATGCGGCAACATGCTGAAAAAGTTACAATCGTCAGGTTTGAAGCACTTTCATGAATCTGAGAGGTCACTGGATGAAACGAGTGAAGAGAAAATGAATCCAATAAATAAGACAAAAAAAAAAATCACCTATATGTAGTGTCAGTAAAATGATGATAAAGAGGTAGTTTCAGCACAGATATTACAAATGACATTTTTCCTTGTGTCCCAAAAAAAAAAAAAAAAAAAGAAAAAAAATCATTTTCATGTGTATTACATTATGACAGAAATTGGCAACAATAGGGCAGTGGAGATGAGTTATTTGAGTTGAGTAGCAGGAAGCTACATCAAAGGAAAAATCTCCCTTCAGATCTTTTTTTTTTCCACAGTCAGATCTCAGATGTGTGTGATGTTCAATGCATTCCTGAAGTTACTTTGAGAAAAGAGAGTTGGTAGTGGCCTGTTTTGTTGGCCACCCTGAACTTTTCTCATCTCCTTCAACCGCATCAATATTGCTCCGTTTGAGAAGCCCCTGTAGCTGCCTAGCTAGGCAGCTTAGCGGAGTGAAGTGTGTTCTTTTGCATTTCACATGACGCAACAATCAATCACTGAGCTATACGTGCTCGAAAACGAGCAGTTCACCTCATATCACAAACTCCGAATAGGCCATAAAACAGCTATGTAGAAGAGATTTACCCGTGTGTGCGTTATCGTCACGCTAACTGTGTGTTCACTTGAAATGCGTTAACTACGATTCACGGGCATTTCAATGATTACTCCAGAAAATGGACGTCCTCCATCACCAAATGGTCACATATCCAGCGTTGAGTCAAACTAAGGCGATTTACTGACTCGATCTGCACGGCTTCCATTGAAACTGATGCAAAACAAATGCTTGCATTTCAATAACTTTGCCACTGCAGAAAACGGAAGAAACAGAATGCCAGTTCGGATTCCCAAGTGATCCCACAACACCTGATTTTACAGATCAAGTAATACGTGAAAGGTTCCTAAATGCCAATATCGTCGCATAAAAAGGTGTGATGGCATCACAACCCCTGAGTAACGCTTTCATAAACCGCTGTGCACGAAGGGAATGCGTCTTATACCAAGTCCACAAAAAAAAGTTAAGAGACAGAAAATGAGGAGTCATCCTCACTCGAAAAAAAAGAATGAATACATGAGAAAAAGAACAACGCAAAATATTCAAAATCACTACATAGGTACTGTACACGAAAATGTAAAAAAATTCAAAGATGAAAAGAGAAGCGAAGCATTCGAAAGAGAAACACCGCACCGCTTCGGTGGTAGCGTTAAGGCCGCAGATGCACACGGGGCCGTGGCTGAAAACGGCAACATTGGGACAAGCGAACAGTCTGGAGATGCGCCTGGATCTCGCGGTGCTCGTCGTAAATGTTAAAAGAGGGACAATCGGCACACAGCCGCGCCCCCCAAACCGTGTTGTTTCACTTCCAAACTTATATCCACTTTCACCCGCAAGAAGGCAGCGGGATGACCATCCTATGCAAATCAAGCGGAAACTTTTTTTCCTACAGAGGACCTTCTATGTCCTGAAAACTAAAGTCTACTAACACAACAAGCACATCAGCATGGTCGCTGGAACAACTCCTGAATGCATACATAACACTCACTTTACCCTGTTTCGATCCAGGCCGAGAGAGGCCTGAGAGAGGAACACACTGGGCGGGCAGCGGCCGAGGTCAAGGTCTCTGAACGTCACCGATGTGTGCAAAAAATAAAAATAAAAGAGAGTCGTTGCAATGACTGCATTTTTTTTTTTTGTCTGCATTTCAAATGGTTTGCACATCATGAAACTGCTAAAAAACGGAGGCATCGCAGAAGATGCTCAAGCAGCCCCAAAATTAAAGACCATTTTCTGCAAGAATGTGCATATCCGTCACACAGAGAGCAAGGGCCGGAGCTCCAGTTACTGCTCGACACCAAATCAATCACACTAAAATCATATCAGCACATCATAAAATGATTATCTGCAATCTTTGTGGCTGAACTTGAATCAGCACATAAACATTCATTTCCTAGTCCGTGGAGTCAATCGTCCCAATCCAACTCACTGTGCACCAGTTTAGACAGTGACCTGATACAGAGTTTGATTCAGGTCGAATCTAATCTTCTGGTTTTGGGTCTGTGCAAAAAAAAAAAAAAACGTGATTGGACTCGACAGGACCAGATACAAGTCTAACAATAGCAAAATGTCTTTGCTCGGCCGATGTGCATCGGGGTACCTTCATGACAACTGGCTCATGAAATTATTGAACGAGAACTGCTGATCAGTTGTTAGTTTCCCTCCAAATGACACCAAATCACATCTGCTGAATGCATGTGAGGGTGCAGGCGTAGCAGCAGCAGCATTTGGGAGGAAATCTGGCAATGTGCTCATCTGTCCATCAGAGGGTCTCCCCCTTGGATCAAGATTGATTCATTTCTTATACTTATCCTTCATTGACAAGAAATGTTTTGTCGAGCTATCAGCTCCACACCCATAAATGGGCATTTTGGAAAAAAAGAAAGAAAAAAACAAGCATTGCATAATACTTTGGTCAAAAAAAAAAAAAAATCAAACAAACAGCAAAGCTAGCTATCCTCCTTTACCCTTGCAATAAAGCCTTACATCCCCAGTCTCTGATTGTAAAAAATACCCGTATACTCCTTTTCCAAAGAAGATCCCACTGATCCAAATAGCTGTCACCTTCACTCATGGAAAGTTACGCCTCCCATAAGCAGAATGTCCAAGAGTCCGTGCAGCTCAAGTAGCTCATCTTTTTCCACTATCTAGTCATAAAACCTCACCACTTCTTAATGTTTGATTTGCACAGCTCCTTTGAACATTCAGACTCTTGATTGAGGTGCCAAAGCATCTATCGGAATTGTGTATAAGACTGGGCAACTCTTTATTAACACCACGAAAATAGCGATAACATCTTCCTGAGGTAGTCTCAAAACACTTATGTGTGTCTATCTTCCCCCATCCGAATAAAATAAACTCTTTTTTTTTCTTCTTCTTCTTTTAGTCTCGCTCGAACAATGGCAACACTGACACATTGAGCAAACTGGATACACACTTGTAAACTCCAAAGACCAATGCATCTATGAGCATTTGTTTTGTACAGAAGCATGTGCACAGTGTAAATCAGCATACATTCAGCTCTGTCGTGTAATAAATATAAAAAAAAGTCATTTAAAAAAAAAGAAAAGAAAAAAAAACTAGCTGCTTGTCACATTCATTGGAGGTGAGACCATTCCCTCGCCTTGAGGGTGGGGGAGGGGGTGGGGGTATTCTTCGGCGGAGGGGTGGGGGGTGGGAGTGGGGTTGGAGGTTTGATTGGGAGAGGGTTGTCGGTTATGCGGTCAGGGTCGGGGAGGCCTCTAATTTCCAGAGGAGGTGGTCACGCAGGGTGACGGGCCGGTCCTGTAGCTGGTCAGACTGGATTTGCAGGAGTGCAAGACTGCTTTGAACAAGAGGGGGAGCTGCTCCAGAGGAACATTGACCAACTTCCCTGAAAACACATACAACTGCTTTAGCTTTGCTTTCGTTCACGCCCAAAGGCACATGATGGGGCCGGTAGAGTTTTTTTGGCATAAAGGACGGTCTTGTCCAAACTGTACGAACACGAAAATGAAAAGACGGTTCCGTATCTTTCGACAACTGGTGCCTTGCATTTCCCAATGCAATCCAAGATTCTAATAAATAAATAAATAAATACTGTATTTTCCGCACTAAAAGGCGCACAAAACTAGCTGCTTGTCACATTCATTGGAGGTGAGACCATTCCCTCGCCTTGAGGGTGGGGGAGGGGGTGGGGGTATTCAAGGCACATGATGGGGCCGGTAGAGTTTTTTTGGCATAAAGGACGGTCTTGTCCAAACTGTACGAACACGAAAATGAAAAGACGGTTCCGTATCTTTCGACAACTGGTGCCTTGCATTTCCCAATGCAATCCAAGATTCTAATAAATAAATAAATAAATACTGTATTTTCCGCACTAAAAGGCGCACTGGATTATGAGGCGCACCTTCAATGAATGGCTATTTTGTATTTTATTTTCATACATTGGACGCATCGCATTATAAGGCACAATCTACAATGCCTCCACTAGATGGTGCTACGCTCCTTCCATTGAACTCGAGAGGTGTCCGTTCAACTCGAGAGGCATTCATGACCGCCTCTGAAAAACCTAATTTACTGTACTTAAATGAAACTACAAAAATTGAAAATAATGCATCAAAACAGAAAATCAAGTGAGGAAATCACAAAATAAATTCTATATCCCCCCCCTACAAAATTTATTTTGTGATTTCCTTGCTTGATTTTCTTTGTAGTTTCATTGAAGTAATCATTAATTTAGGTTTTTCGGAGGCGGCCTTGAACACCTCTCGAGTGGAACGGAAGAAGAGAAGGCACGGAGACGGACAAAGACGTGCAGTACCTGTATTTGTTGAGACTGTGAAAACCATTAATAAAGTCTGCATTTAAAAAAATAAATAAATAAAACCACAGCTCTCCTTTTTTCAACAAATACAGGTGCGTCTTTGTCCGTCTCCGTGCCTTCTCTTCTTCCGTTCAACTCGAGAGGCGTTCATGACCGCCTTCGAAAAACGCATTGGCATTTCCTTGATCATAGCGCTAACACAACGATCAGATGTCAGTAGTAGTTATTTATTCCTTTGTTGTGTATTCACAAATGATGAAATCACATATAAATTCTGTAGAGGGCGGCTATAGAATTTATTTTGTGATATCCTCGCTTGCTTTTCAGTTTTAATCTAGTATTTTCAATTTTCGTTGTTTCATTGAAGTAATCGTTAGTTTACGTTTTTCGGAGGCGGTCTTGAACGCCTCTCGAGTCGAACTGAAGAAGAGAAGGCACGCAGACGGACAAAGACGTACCTGCATTTGTTGAGACTGTTTAAAAAAAACAACACCACAGCTCTCCTTTTTTCGGAGCTGCAACAAAAACTTATTTAATAAAGCAGCGACACAGTTCACTGAACCAACAACAAGTTATAACATTGTAAGCATGTCTCCAGCAAGCAGCCATCTTGGGGTCGACATATTACCGTAATGAACATAGACAAGGCGCACCGGATTTAAAGGCGCGCGGTGAGCTTTTAAGAAAATTGAAGACTTTTCGGTGCGCCCTATCGTGCGGAAAATACGGTACATCATTTATTCTGGTCTTACCTGCGATGCAGCGGATCTCTGGCAGACACATCATGATCTCAGGAAAGCGTTTGGGCTGGTGCGGGTACTTATACTCGGTGTAGTCCTGACACACATACCAGTAGCGCTTGTTCAGCTGCTCTAGCTGAGAGATGTTTGACAGTCCTCTGATATCTGCAGGGATGTAAAAGCACGCGCGCCGACATGAGGACCACAGTACGGATTAAATGAAATTATACAGCAAGTAGTTTGCTGTGGTACCTTGGTTTAGGAAGTTGATTGCTTTCATGCAGGCATACTCCTCATTGCTGATCTTCAACTGGTGGAATTTGCGAAAGAGATAGATCAGCCTCTCCATCACCTCCATGCCGTCCTCACTGAAACTGACCAATAGACAGACGATTTATTTACACAAACCCCGTGTCAAATCCAAAAAGTGGAGGTGGTTTCCTCTTCCTATTACTGGAAACAAATAACTATGAATTATGATTTCATTCTTTGAAAGTGCGTAAGAATCAGTTTGAAAAAGATCCACAAAGTTTAATTCACCTCACCTCACGTCATTGTTCTTATCTAGTTCATCAGAACATTGAAATCGGGGCTGCCACTTTAAATCACACGTGGGCTGCTAAGCCACCAGACTACAAACTGAGACATCAGTGCGGCGCTGTATATTAAGAGAAAGTGTGTCATGAGGTGAGATAATTCGAGCCTGATTTACACTTGGTCAAACCCCCACACATCCTTTATTACCAATAGTGAAAGACATAACACCGCATGCCAGACAGATGGTGCTAGCCACAGCTCTGTATTCGGGAGTCGTCCTATTCATGGACTGGTTCGCTGGCCCCATTCCAATTCTAATTTGCTCCAAGTGATCGCAAAAGGAATTATAAAGCATTTTGCAGATATAGAACTAACAGACTAGAACGACTGGCTGTCTTGGAGAATTGCTGCTGTGATATCTTCCTTAATTCTTCGTAAAATATTGGTTGGCCATTACAGTATCCGAAAATCTGACATCTCATACAGTAATCCCTCGTTTATTGCGGGGGCTACGTTCCAAAAACAACCCGTGATAAGCGAAATCCGAAAAGTAGTCATCTTCAGTTTTTACAACTTTTATGTATGCAACACTGTATTGAATGAAAACAAAGATTAAACCTTGTTTAGTCAGTGTGTTTTAAAAGTAAACCATCCATCCTTCCATTTTCTGATCTGCTTCTCCTCACAAGGGTCGCGGAGCGTGCCGCAGCCTATCCCAGTTGTCTTTGGGCAGTTTGCCGGGTACACCCTTAACTGGTTGCCAGCCAAACACAAAGACAAATAACCGTCTGCGCTGACCAAGAAAATGCAACTTTGAATTGGAGAGACGGCTGGGCCAAGACAGTTTTCAATGCGGCTACGTCACATAAGAGCTCCGCTTGTTGCTTGCAAGTATGGCTGCACGCGTTAGCTGCTATGGCATCTCGACAAATAGGTTCCACAAGCTACATAAGCTTGCTTTAATACAACCAGTGTAACCATAAAAATGCATTTGGATGCAGTTTGTCTTGATAAAGCATAAATATTTCCTACCACAGGTACACTTTTATATTCAAGCCAAAGTGGTGCTGTCTCGGGCAGTTAGCACATCGGCCTCACAGTGCAGAGGTGCAAATTCCGGCTCCAGCCTCCCTGTGTGGAGTTTGCATGTTCTCCCCGTACCTACGTGGGTTTTCTCCAGGTACTTTGATTTCCTCCCACATTCCAAAAACATGCACGGTAGGCTGATTGAATACTCTTAGGTGTGAGTCCCGAGGTGTGAGTGTGAGCGTGGATGGCTGTTTGTCTGTGTGTGCCCTGCGATTGGCTGGCAACTGGTTCAGGGTGTCCTCCACCTACTGCCCGAAGACAGCTGGGATAGGCGCCAGCACACTAACGACCCCCGTGAGGATATGCGGATCTGAAAATGGATGGATGGATGGATGGTGTTGTCTCGCTATTTGAATTGAGACCATGATCATTGAAACTCTGTGTGTGTACACGTGTACGTGTAAGTGCGTTTATGTTTGTGTGTGCACTACTTGTGTGTACAGAAAGAGGGCCTCAACATGGATGTGAGATTGTTTTCAGGAAAAAAAGTAGAAGTAAGAGTATTAGACCAAAAGGTCTATCTATCTAAAACAGATCTGAAAAAAGTACGGCGTGAGGGCCACCTGCGGTCTTGTCCACAGTCTCTGACCGACTCTCACAGTGACCGTCAAGTCTAGGTAAAATGTCAAATATGTCCTGCTTTTATTTTGAAACAGAATTTATTTTGATGTGCACGCGTATTGAAACTTGAAAACGCCTGTTAACAAGCAAGAACTACAACTTGGGTCTGCAGTGTTGCCAACTTTGCCTCTATTTAGCGACTATTCTGACCCCTTCAGCCATAATTTTCTTTTCCAAAAAGAGACTAACGAACTTGACAACAGTGGACAGTGAGAGGCGCTGCAATTGGTTGGCCCGTCGTGGGCGACCCTGTGAGAGCTCACTTTTGATTGGCTTACAGTAAGCAGAGACACGAAAAACTTCTCCTTGGCATTGGACGCTTTTCTTCACTTCATTGACGGTGTTATATTCCCTTGTTGTGATGGTGATGGTAACTAACTTGTGTTTTTTTTTTTAACTGAAATTTACCGCTAGAAGGTAACAGTGCACCAGTAGAGTGTACAAACTCCCCTTTTACTCAGTTTTATAATCAGGGTTGGACGAGCCACCGTACTTCCACAAAATGATGCATTTGCTGAGCATGTCTTTTCTGTTGTGGGACTGAGCAAAACATCAATCTGGAAGGGCCCCTGTCATGTACTATGACAGCAAAGATGGCTGGACTGGAGATGTGCTCTGGCGCAGAAATTGTCAATGCCCCAAACTTGTAAATCCATAAACTAACACTGTGTTTGTGTGATAGCAGGTCAGCAAAACCGCTAACCAATTAGCTGTTTCTCAATCACTCAAAGAGGAGTTAAAATGGAGGTAAGTAACTTTAACTGAGGTGTTGGATAAAATTGTAGGCTGTCATAAAAATATTCATCTCATGGACTGAAAATAAAGGAGTGCCTCTCTGTCATCCCCGCAGCCGCTCACCCCTGCAGCTCGTCGTCAGATGGCGTGTACTTGGCCGTGACATTGGCCAGGTCCCCGAAGATCTGGGCGCTGTATATTGTGAGACAGGAGAGCAGGATGAGCTCCTGCCAAGTGGAGCTGAGCAGGCAGGTGTAGTCCTCGATGGAGAGCTCGCAAAAGAAAGGCAACTTCTTGATCCATGAGATCTGACGGAAGAGCAGCTCATCTGCCAGGCGACACAGCAAGGCAAACAGCTCCACCTGTGTTACCTTGTAGCTTATGTACGGGGGAGAAAAAAGACAATTTAAAAAGGAGAGGGAAAAATATACACACATTTAATGGTGACATTGTCATAGCATGTTCAACCATATTACACGGAAAAAATTGATACGATTCATGGGGATAGCGACAGCCAGGCCACCTTGATGTAAATTTCCAAAAAGACACAGACACTCCCCTAAAAGTGAATAGAATAGCCTCTATAAACATTTCAAACCATAAATATATCACAAACTATGATCCCAAAACACTGAAGTCACATTTCAAATGCTTACCAACATCTCCAATTATTATATAAAAATTCAGTACAACTTGACAGCTAAGAACAAATACAGTACACAATGTCCAGTACCTGCATGTACACTTCAAAAATTCAAATGACGACGATAATGATGATTATGATGAGGATAAAATTCCACTGGTTTGGATGCCATGCTCATGATCAGGAGCCAACTCAGACATGGCGTCGCCAGATTTCTTTGTAGTGGATGCCAAGAGGAGTCAATGTCGACTCATCGATGACGTCATTCAAATGCACCAACCCGAAAAAAAAGGTCACTGCCTCCAAACACAAACTGGTTCGGTCACCCCATCATATTCGGAGAATCATTCAGCCAATCCTGCCCAGAGACCTCCAAGGCCTCGCACACTTGGAACTTGTAAAACACCAATTCATGAAACACAATTGCAAGGTCACTACTCGCTTCGGTTTTCATTACTACAATACAAATAAAAAGACGACGGGGTAGGCGGGAATGCTTTGAATCATGTATTGTAGAAAACCCGTAGTTGTGTTACATGGATTGGTATTAAAGTTCTACAATTTCCATAGCAATGGTTTGATAAGATCCGACTGGTTGTGAGACCCTGAAGGTGTCTGTCATTCGTCATTGGATGAGGGAGACAGAATGAATCTGGTAGGAAGTTGAGAGAAAGACTAACTGGATGATTTCTTTGGCAAAATGCACTGTTCATTTTCTCAAGAAAGAGCATATTGATCAAGTATTATGTCTGTTTTTTCACAGTTACAGACATGTGTCTGGAGATTACGATGTCGGCTGATGTTAGGCTAACAGCTAGCATTAGCAAATGGCTTTTCAGATGGGCATGCAGCTCACTTGTGCTTTTGTTGTAGTTGAAGATAGCTTTGCATATTTTGCAAGTGACCGTGCCACGGGTATTTCATAAAATATTGCCACATGCTACAGGCACTGCTGCTAATTTGCTATGTGGACACAACAGCTGTTGATTTCAGCAAAACGTCCGTATTGTGGCTAAAACGCACGTGGCGATTAATCGACCTCAACTGTCATTGCTGAGTGGTAAAGTCGATGCGTCAACTTCTTGACAAGCCGTACTGCTTGACTGTCAATCACGAATCTAAATAGGTATCTGATAGAGCGAGTGTGTGTTTGTGTGTGCGTGTGTGTGTGTGTGTGCGTGTGTGTGTGTGTGTGTATTGCCGAACGCCACAACAAGTGTGGTTAAGCATAAATTTGGTTGTGTGCACAACTATTTTGGCGTGATTACACCACCATTAAACATTTGTTGCTTAATCTTTTACTGAAAATGAATATGAGCGCCGAGTAGTGGTTATGGGCCTCGTTGACTACTACTAATCGGAATTGGAATCGGCCTTGAAAAAAAAAAAAAAACATTGTTCTATGTCTAGCAAATGAAGTTATTTTCATTCTTCTGGGAAGACTGTCTCCAAGACTGTGGAATTTGTGAGAATTATTTACACATGCATTCAAAAGAACATTTGTAAGGTCACACATAGGCCTGACATATCTTTGTTTCTATGGAGGCACTGGCGTGTTGGAACCTTCTTTCAACTGTGTCTGGGAAGTTAGTTGCAGTTGCCAAATAAATTATTTTATGAACCATATCAAGAGCCCTGTGAAAAATAGCAAACGTTGACTCGTCAGTAACGAAAAATAAAGACAGACCATATACTATGTACACAATATATTGCGATGGCTTCTGAAGGCAACCGTTTCAAGGAGGGGTGTACAATGTATGTGTGTCCTCACCCATCTTCTATCAGCATCGGGGTGGCCAGTGGGGCCAGGTCTTCAGCCGCCACCAGCTGCAGCACTAATGGATGGGACTGCGGGTAAAGGCTGCGGGGCTGGGGGGCCAGCAGACCAGACTGGGCAGCATAACTAAAGAGGTGTGGCAGAAGCTGGTAGTGTGTTGACATGGAGGTGTTGATGTACTGATCTCTGAGGGCTGCTGTGTAGCCGTTCATCTCGGTGGAGCGACTGGAAAAAGGAAAAGAGGAGTTGACAAAACATCTGTTTGACAATCCTGATAAGTTCATATTTGTGTATTTGCCACAAAAAAACACATCTATCCATATCATCGAAATCCATCTTTGATGGTGGCCAGCAGAAAACTGACTGCAGAGAAGGTTCATACACATTTTCATTGCGTTGGGTCCATAGATTCGCCAAAGGTTCCCAAAAAGTGACAAAAGAGTGTCAAATAGTTGCTAGTCTTTGTGACGCTTTCCTAAATAGCCACGGCAAGTCGCCACCAGTTGTCTTTCGCAAACACTTTCCCAAGCAATTGCGGCAGTTGCCTCTAAGCATCGCTAAAGTCGCTAAATATCACGAAGGACAGAGTTGACCCTGATATTCACCAGCATTGGTCAGAAAAGTGGACCAATGCAACTTTTGTTGCCTTTGCAAGCATTTGCTGAACCGAACCCAACCAGATCATATGCAAATTCACTGAACCTTTCTTTAGTGAAAAATAAAAATATGATTTTTTTACAAATTCAAGACATTAAAAATGCATTTCTTAAAAACAGAAAAAAGTCAATACAAATTCAAGTTTTTTTAATTGTATGGTAGAGGCTCTGTCGAATCCCTGAGACCGATTCACTGAACCCCGAGGGTTCGATCGAACCCAGGTTAAGAACCACTGCTCTAAACACAAGTGGGATCCTTTACTTTGAACAGCAAAATTTACATGGGTCTTGTACCTGCATGCCATGGCATAGTCCACATCGGCATTTTGTTATTCTGGGACACTTTATCTCAGATTGTAGTTGATAAGACAAACGCGACTATTTCTCCGATTAGCTATCAGCTGCAAAGCTGAGGAGATAAAGCCGTTGATATAAAATAAATATCATCACGCGAGGGCCTAGACATGATTCGTCCTTGTTGAGTAAAGATAGACAATGGGCACTTCTTCATTACAAGAAGAGCTGATAGTGCAGCGAGTTCTTTATTTTTGATGTCATTGCCGTGCCTGAAGAGCCGCAAACGAAGGCATTCTTCATGCAATGAATACTTTAATTCAAGTCTTGCGGAAGATGAATGAGGTATTACACTGTCAGGGCCGGCTCATTATCTCAGTGGCGGACCGAGTGGCGGTGATGCGCAATCCAGCGGATGAGACAAGCAACTCACTTGGATGACAGTGTGGAGGCAGGTGAAGGCTGGTTGCCCTCCGAAGCTCCGTTGCTGGGAGAGCTGTGGTCGCTGTCGCCGTTGTTGCCCCATGTGTGCTCTGGGGCGTCCTCCTTGAATTCCTGGCCTGACATGATACGCTCAATCTCCTCCTCCGTGATCTGAAACATGCACAGTGACACTTCTGGGCCCGGGGAAATTTACAGCATGTCCTTTTGACCAAAAGCACAGAGGAGCTCAATTCCATTAATTTGCATGTACGACCAAGACAGTGCTTTTCACTCGAATGTTCAGGAGCAAGGACGTTGTCACACAATGAAAGGGACCTTGAGAGAAAGAAACAAAAGTGTGTGTGTGTGTGTGTGTGTGTGTGTGTGTGTGTGTGTGTGTGTGTGTGTGTGTGTGTGTGTGTGTGTGTGTGTGTGTGTGTGTGTGTGAGTGTGTGTGAATGTGTGTTTGTGTGAATGTGTGTTTGTGTGCGTGCGTGCGGGTATACACAATTAAAATTGCAAGCCCGTGCAAAGAGAGAACTGACAAAAAGCTATGTTTAATAAATTAGGATGTCATGAGTGTTTTTCAACATTTCTGGCCAGGGTCAATTTGGTTTCAGCCCATATACTGAAACAGCAATTCATTTCTTTTGAATAGAATAAATGATTCTGCCTTTTTATGCATGCCAATATGTCAGTTTTTCTTCCTTGCATTGAATAAATTGAGCTGGAATGAATTGAGCACATCTCCACTTTTCTCTTCAATTGTGTTTTGATGTTACTTAGCCTCATGTCTCGCATTTTCGTTCCCAACCATTTTCACTCTTGCCAAAGTTAAAAACAAAGCCACGCTGAATAGAAAATACTGCGCTAATATAGTGACGATACAAGGTCAAGGTTTACTATCGTTATATACTTCACAAGCATTCTCCCACCAGCGCTATTGCTGCTACAGCTCTCCACTATTTATGTCAATGATTTATGCTCTCATCATTATACAAGCGATGAAATCTTGGCTTCAGTTCAGCCTGAATATTTGTTTATAGTACGAGACAGCTCAGTCAATGTTTCAGAGAGAACATCAAAAACAGTTATTGTAAAGTGTCAAATGATTTACCTGAACCGGCCCAATGCTTTTGTTCCTCCCTCCTGGCATGCCATCCTCTCTGATTGCTGTGTGGTTAAAAAAATATACATACATGTACATATGAATAAAATAATTTCAACATCATTTTTATTGTTGCCCACAGTGATTATAAATACTTAAGCTCTATCTAGTGGGTGACACTAGATTCTAAAAGAAGAATACAAAAGTTGACGAGCTAGAGATTTCTCTCAATTCTAACTATGGCCTTTCCTGTTTTCGATCGATAGACGTCAATCAAATCAATTTCCTGAGTCAAGCGATGCTCACGTTAATTAATGCAAGTTACTAGGAGTGCAACACGTAACGTTTCCATAAGGGGGCAGTAAAGAACCGACTAAACTCTTCCCACACTGACGTTGGAAAGCGACAGTAAATTTAACATTTAACCACGTCTTGATATATTCCAAGGACCTTAGAATATTTATAAATAGGCCCCAAATTATTTAAAATTTGTCTTAAAGTGAGTTTTTATGGCTTGAAATGGCTGACAACGACTCAAGTAAGTGGCTGACTGTAACTGCATGTAAAACATCCTGAACAAGAACAACAATAATAGTCATAATGATAATAATAATAATAATAATAATAATAACAATAATAATACTGCGACTGACACTCATGACACTTTTTATGAGACAAGTAAACTAAACAGTACTTTACAAGTTATCAAAATACACGTGCAATGTATTTATGTACGTTGTAGGCCTATGCATGTACACATTTGGATATACAGTAATTGATGTGACTTTAAAGACCATCGTGGTTAGTGAAACAACAATAGAGTTTTTATAAGTCTTAATGATACTTTGACACCTGGCGACACCATATGCTTATCAACTCCTTGTGGGAAAACTGCTTCAGCTGTCTCAGGTTTCAAGGGCGTGGCCTGTTGTGGCTCCTTCGGGAGATTTCTACCTGCTTTCATTTAAGGCCATTGTGAAGTGGTCAGATGTTTTGTTCTAAGCTATTCTTGCAAGTTTCGGCTTTCTGTTGAGTATCTAGTCTGTTGATGGACCCCTGCATCTGAGGCCAAACTTTCTAACACTGCGAGCCATATTTTGCTCCAGGATGAGTTGTTAGTCTTGAGATCATTGAGTTGTTATAGGGGGAAGTCAAGTCATTTTTATTCATGTTTTTATTTTTACACTAATATGTTATATAAACACTGCATTCTCAGTAATATTGTGCTTGTGGAATATGAATTATCAGCAACCTGTTTTTAGCCATCTCAGGGGGTGGTCATTTTGCCACTTGTTGTTGACTGTAAATGACATGACAGTGTCTCAGGGTTCAAGTAACGACCAATCGCGGCTCAAACCCAGAAAACAGCTGAAAATGGCTACACCCTGAAGTAGATAGAAGTAGATATTGAATGCTGTTAATCATGTTTAACATCATCACAGTGCAGCAGATGAGTTGATAAAATTACAGCTTTACTGATTTGGGCTTTCGCTCATCTCGTGGGGGCGCACAGGATATATTGTAAAAAAAATAAAAATAAATAAATAAATCGATTTTTGAGCTAATGCGACTTGTCCACAAGCTCCAATTGCGTCTCTTCAAACCACAAAGCTTCTTTTTTGAAGCTTTTGTGGATTGTTGACATGCATTTTAGCAACTTCCACTCACCAAGTTATTCGGTAGCCTCTTATTTTTTTTCTTTGACAAAGGGTATCAATAATGTTTTCCACCTATTTTTGAAGAGTATGTATGTATGCATGGAGGAGCATGGTATTCTTGTTATCTAAATGCCAGTGTTTAATATGAGTCATCCAGGTCATGGTAATTTGCAAAGGTTGAATCAAGACAAGTGAAGTCCTCTTGAAATATCCTCAACAAACAAAAGAACCCAGATGCCTCGATTCAAACTGCAGATTACTTGTCTGAAAAGTGTTTTTTTTTTTCATGTTTATGTCCAAGGAGGCAGCATCAAAGATTACAAAACATAACAAGGCAATTCTGCATTGTACTCTATTTGAATTACAGTAGTGAATTGATGTTGAGTCTTAAAACGTTACCGTCAATTGGCAGCCCATAGTTTACCTTTGCGGTTCATCCCCATTTGCAGACACTTGAGTAGGCGGCAATACTGGCAGCGGTTGCGTTGCTTGCGTGACATCTCGCAGTTCTTGTCCCTGCTGCATCGGTACACGCGCTTGTTGCAAATGCTGCGCTTGAAGAAACCCTTGCAGCCTTCACAGGAAATGATGCCATAGTGTAGGCCTGTGGCTCGATCTCCACAGATAAGGCAAGTCCGTTGCTCAGCTGGATCATCTGCAGAGGTTCAATGGAAATACAGAAAGAAAATAATCCTTCTTCACTAGCAGGATTTTGTTGCCCCAAATCTTTGCCATGAAAAAAAAATGTAGGTGCAAAAACCTCCTTCCGGGCATAAGTTTTTAATTGCGATTTCGGGGGTGGTTGGGGCTTAAGTGCTTGCCGGGTGCTGGCTAATCTAGTGGGATGTTAAACTACAGCTCTCATTTTGTGAAAGTGGAGGTGTAATCGGCACAAGGACATACGTCTCGCGCATATTTTATTCAGGAGCTGGGATGAGGATTTGTTTACAGTCTCACCTTTCTATGCTCCAAACAACAGCCTTGATTATCACATGAACAGACAACAACCTCGTGCTAAGTCAGAAATTAAGTCGTGTGGCATGAAGTAAAAATGCTTTATCCTCTTATTATTTCACGGTACTTTGAAGGTACACGTGTACAGTGGTGAAACATTCAGCCATTAAGTTGTCAAGAAGAGAACACGTCTTTGAAGCTGATATTTGGTGTAGCCGAGACTTTCGAGAGGATTAAAGAGAAACATCAGACTGCAGTCTGCTCAAGAAACTTCAACAGTCATCATGGTAGATGCTGTGAAAATGTAACAACAGCAGTTGTGAGGAAGCTGTCAAAAAGCTTTTCTTAATCTCCCCCCGCCACATCTACTTTAATGCCCCATAATACATATAATCAACTCTACAAGGAAGAACAGCTTTCGTGAGGAGCGCATCTTGAAAAGTGTTTATAATCCTAAACATCATTATTGATTGAATTGTAGCCTAACTGATTTAGGCTGAGCCGCATTGCGATCTTTTTATTTCACTTATCACACTCAATTACAGTCCTCCAAGGGGAACGCACACACTGCTGTATGCTCATGTTGCGTCACAGAGCCAACCAGATCACACACAGATCAGTACAAGCCATGTATTCTTAAGCATACATGAGAAAAGGCACTAACCTGTTTAAATATACTGAAGCCTGATATAAATATATGTATATCTACCGTATATCTATCCATATATCTATATATGCGGCCCGGTGATCCAGTGGTTAGCGTGTTGACCTCACAGTGCAGAGGTCGTAGGTTCGATCCGGCTCTGGCCTTCCTATGTGGAGTTTGCATGTTCTCCCCGGGCCTGTGTGGGTTTTCTCCGGGTACTCCGGTTTCCTCCCACATTCCAAAAACATGCATGGCAGGCGGATTGAACACTCCAAATTGTCCCTCGGTGTGAGTGTAAGCGTAGATGGTTGTTTGTCTCTGTGCCCTGCGATTCGCTGGCAACCGGTTCAGGGTGGCCCCCTTCTACTGCCCGAAGACGGCTGGGATAGCGGATCGGAAAATGGATGGATGAATGGATCGATCTCTCTCTCTCTCTCTCTCTCTCTCTCTCTCTCTCTCTCTCTCTCTCTCTCTCTCTCTCTCTCTCTCTCTCTATATATATATATATATATATATATATATATATACAGTAATGACGTCGTTTATCGCAGGGGTTCCGTTCCAAAAAGAACCAGTGATAAGTCAAATCCGTGAAGTAGGATTTATTAAAAAAAAGCAAAAAAATGTGAGGGGGACAAAATTTCAAATGTGCTGTATGTTTCACATTTTGGTCTTTGGTTTCATTGTATCAATGAAACATACAGCACATTTGACAATAAAGTTGTACGTGGTACTTGATAGTCAGCTTTATTTTTTACAGTTATACAATACTGAACAATGGATACAGTGTAGAGGCGAATGCTCTAAAACTGCAAGGGAAGCTTTTCTTCATGATGATTGGATGATCTCTCTGAGGCTGAATCTCTTTTTGATTGACAGTGAAATGAGCCAATCACCGATCTTATGGTGAAGGCATCCTTTTCATTTTTTTGAAAAGGAATGCAGAGTAGAATTCACATATAAATAAACGGACACATTTTATGATGTAGGCCGAAATTGAGCTTCCCCTCCTTGACAAACCAGCATCCTCCATTGATACAATGAAACCAAAGACCAAACATTTGCAAAGGTAAATTTGGCAAGCTGTACAGAGACGAGGTGCGGAGACTGTTCACGTTGGTCAGTCCCTTAGCCAATCCGGATGCAGAACACAATTCACTGTTTAAAAGCATTAAAAAAACTGCACCAAAAGAATCTGTGAAACTGAGGAGGCCTTAACCCATGACCTAAGGAGGAAACTTGTTTCAGCCACTTGTATCCAGAACCTTATTCATTTTGTCAGGACCCACAGCTCGTGACCATAGGTGAGTGTAGGAATGTAGACCGACTGGTAAATTGAGAGCTCCGCTTTCTGGTTCAGCTCCCTCTTCACCACAACAGACTGATACTGAGTTGCATTACTCCGGGCACTCTGGGTGCATAAAAACATAGATGTAATACTGAGGCCACCAAACTGGACACTATCAAGGCTTTGACTGCGCTTAGAAATTCTGTTCATAAAGGTTATAAAAAGAATCTGTGACAAAGGGCAGCCTTGGCAGAGTCCAACCCTCACTGGAAAAGAATCCAATTTACTGCCGGCAATGTGGACTCAACTCGGACATTGGTTGTACAGGGATCGAACAGCCCATACCAGCATCTGAGAGCCTATACTCCCGGAACACCCCCCACAATATACCCCCCTGGGTACATAGTCGAACGCCTTGTCCAAGTCCACAAAACACATCCATTGGGTGAACTCCAAACGGACCCTTGCGGAGGGTGTACTGTGGAGCTGGTTAATTTTTCTATGGCCGGAACGAAAACCACACTGGTTCTCCTGAATCTGAGATTCGACCTTTCGATAGACTCTTCTCTCCAGCAACCCTGAACGGACATGACCAAGGAAGCTGAGGAGTATGATCCCTCTTCTCTATAGTTGGAACACACTCTTCTTCTGTCTGCCAGTCAGAGGCACTGATCTCAGCCACCCCAGGGCTTTGCCGCTGACGAGCTTTTAAACCACCTTGGTGGCTTCGGCCCCAGTGATAATAGAGCTTACCTCAGAGTCCCCTGATTCTACTTCCTCAAAGGAAGGCGTGTTGTTGGAACTGAGGAGGCCTTGAAAGTATTCCCCACACGATCTCACAATGTCTCATATCTAGGTCAGTCGTGCCCCATCACTTGAACACACATTGTCAATGGATCACGGTTTCCGCCTCCTGAGACATTGGTAGTGGGCCAGATTTTCTTCAAAGCCATCCAGAATTCATTTTCAATGGCCTCACCGAAGTCCTCCCATGCTCGGGTTTTTGCCTCTCCGATCACCAAAGCGTCATTCCGCTTGGCCAGCCCATACCCGCCCACTACCTTCCGAGTACCATCAGCCAAAAAGGCCCAATGGGACTCCTTCATCAGGTTGATGTCAACCCTTACCGCCGTGTCCACCAGCGGGCACGGGGATTGCTGCCACGACAAGCCCCAACCACTTTACGGCCACAGCTCCGATCAGCCGCCTAAACTATGGAGGCGCGGAACATGGTCCGTCCAAACTCAATGTCTCCCTCCTCCCCCGGTGTTCCTCTCAATCACGCATTTCCAGCACTTACTCTCACACCTGTTCCTTACCTTTCTGCAACTCCAGAGTGGAAGAGAGTCCAAGCCCTCTCGAGAAAACGGTACCTGAGCCACAACTGTGTGTGGATAGAGTCTGGCTATAGCTAATCAGAACTTCTCTGCGCTTGGGCTCCTTCCCTACCAGAGAGGTAACATTCCATGTCCCTACAGTTACCTTCTTCCGTCAGTAATCGGACTGCCTTTGGCTGCCATCCATTATGCACCCGACCCCAATTGATTAATTAAATTTAAAATTATTTTGTGTTGGGTCAAAATCAGATAAAAGTTAACAATTCCATATGAAACATATTGTATCTCTTTGCGATATCTATTTGGTGCTGCCCATTATTGAAACAACTATATTTTTTCTGTATCTTGTGTCATCCTCTTTGACATTGTTAAATAATAACCACAGGTATGGCAATAAATCAGTTTTTATATTCAGTAAATTTACGTGATGGTCGATGCAATGTATACTTTTCAGTACAAGCCATGTATACTTAAGCATACCGCTCTGAACTTTAAAAACTTTACTTCTAGTATACAGTACTTGATTAAACTACTTTTTGCTCAAGGCCTGTATCTAACAGAGAGTCCCAGTTCAGCTCTAATGTATGAAGGATGTTTTTCAGGGCAATGTGGGCATCTACAAGTCTTTCATCCGGTCGCCATCCACAGTCCAACAGTCCGCCTGAGCGGGCGAACCAGGAACTGGAGATGCTCTTCATTCTTTCTGCGACAAAAACCCTTCTTCATGGTCTCTCCACCTTCCTTGAGTAGAATACACTCACATTACGCTCTTTTGTTGCGCTCTTGTTTTACAATCGCCTCTGGAAGTGCTGGTGGGAGGAGCTTCCCAGTCACGCCAGTTGGCAATTATTGCCATCTGTTTTTTTTTTTTTTAACTCAGTCAGACAGTCGCTAGGAAGGTGCCAGGTTATTACTTAAAAACGCTTGTAAACAGAGGCAGGATCCACTCCAAACTTGTAGCCAGTCAGTTGTGAAGACAACCATTAGCAGCTTTTGCACGATTTATTTATTTTTTTTAAGATGCCAGGTCAAATGAAAAGTAAATACAAATTAAGAATATGTATTTATATACTTATTTTATGTTGCTCTTGATTACACAACTGTGTTAAATATTTAATAAATGTATGAATTTATAATGTTATTAATGGTGAAGAAATTCTGTTGAAGGTTGCCCTAATGATTATAAATAAAGATTAGTTGTAAATTTGAACAGCTGAAGAGGTGAAAAGGAATGTGTGGTGATTTGACCTTTGAGATTTGACCAACTTGGCCATATTGTATTTATTGGATAGTCTCTGGATCAATATGGCTTTCAGACAGAAATAACCTCTGGTAGATTGAAGACTTGAATTCTGGGAAGAATCTGTGACCTCATCCAATGAGGTCTCTTCACTTTTTGGATATGTGATACATAATTTTGGTGTTCAGCT